TAAGCCCTTACAAATAAAAATGGTGGTTGAACCAAAAAAAATTAGAAGAGTTTCCTATGCTCGAGCAACCATTTAAGTTAGTTAGAACCAAGTTTAGCAAAACTGATCAAGAATGACAATGAACTTACGCTTGCTTATTTACTTTTACTTTCAATAAATACCTAATTACTGAAATTACTATTACTGACCATTCCTGAAAGAAAAAAGGTCGCCAAAAGATTACTAAAGAATTAATTCTAAATATCCTTAAAGCAAAACTAAACACAAAAACTGCTAAACCAAGTAATTATCAAGGTCAAAGAAAAGTTTTTATTCGTGAAAGAGTTGCTTATGATAGTAAAAAGTATCGCCTTATTTTCTGATTTAAAGATAATACGAATCATCATCTTTGGATTAGGAATTGTCATGAGCAGGATTAGATTTTTTTGTCCTTTGCCAAACACTTATTATTTACCTACCCTTTATTAACCTTATAATACCCTTTACCCTAATATTAAGAATACTTTATATCCCTTATTATGACCTACAATGCACAATCAATTGAAGAAGTTTTTACTAGAAAGGCATGAATTCGTGCCGGCAATAAAATTCAAAATGATGGTGGCTACTGAGTTGGCGGTCGCTGTGAATGAGGATTGGCTCATAACTTGAAAGAAGATTGTCAGACGCTAGCTAAATTCTTCGATGATACTACAGAACTAAAAAATGCCCAAAAGGATTTAATAAACTTTAACAATCGGGAAGAATTTGAAAGGAATAAACAAAACTTACTCACTAAAACTAATCAAGCAATTAATGGATTAAGCGTAAGAACAGGCTCAAGCACTTATATTGGCGGAGTGTGTATTATTTGAGGAGACTTTTCTGAGTTTGTAGATTCAATAATAGGCGATTTTCGCAAAGAAATAGAAAGTTTAAAAAGAGATATCGAGAATGCTCAATACGAAGAAGCCCAAGAATTGGCTTTAATAGAGCAAAAAGAAGGAGAATTAAAACAAGAAATTGAAGAAAACCAGCGAAAGGCAGCAAGTGAGACTGACCCAGAAAAAAAGAAAAAATTTATATTTTTGGCTGACCAAGCAAAAGAGGAATGAAAGAAACTTTTAGAAAAGAAAAAACAACTTAAAATAAGTAATTTAGGAGATAACTTTAATCCTAATAAGCACATTGAGGATTTTATTAAAGCCATAGAGGATAGTTTGAGTGGTGGAAATACTCCGAAAAATAACCCTTTTCAAACTCCTAACATAAATAGTCCGAGTGGTAATTCCAATCCTAGAACAGGCGGCAGAACAAGAAATCCGCTCAACCCTTTCCAACAAACCCAAAATACTTCTCAAGACTGATTTCAATCTAACAAGAACTTAATTATTATTGGAGGAATTGCCCTCTTAGTAATCTTCTACCTCCTAAACCAAAAACAGGAAAAAGAACCTAATTATTACGACTTCTAATTATGACTAACTCAACAGAAATTAAAAACCAACTTGGTGAATACACTCAACAATTAGAAAAACAATTAGAACCTTGACAAAGGGGAACTTTAATTTTGGCTTTAACCACTCTACTTCTAATCTCCATTTACTTACTCACTCAGAAAGAAAAACCGCAACCTAGAGAACTTACGGATAATGAACGCAAAAGAATTGAGTCCATTGCCGAAGAAAGAATTCTCAAAAGAGCCGAGTTTTTAAGAAGACTACGAGAATAACATGATCAACATTCTAGGCAAAGAACTACAAAAAGAGCAAGAACAACAACTAAAATATGTAGTTCTAATCCTCATCATTGGAGTTGGTTTTTACTTCCTAGTTTACTTACCGGAACAACAAAGACAACAATTAGAAATGCAAATCCAAGAAACAATTAATAAAGTAACTGAGGCTAAATCTAATGAATACTCTTCTTTACTAACTACTTGCCAAAACTATCTAAAATGAGAAAAGGAAGGCAATTCCATTCAAAAAGAGGCTTTAGAGAATATGAAAGAAGACCTAACCAAAGCCATCAACTGACTAATCCAAGCCGAGAAACATTTAGCCGACCAAAATCAACAGGCTAAAACTGATGAGGAAAAAGAAAAACAAAGAAAGGAAGAAGAGATGATAAAGAAAAAGAAATTACATTGGAAAAGAAATAAACAAAAAAGAAGTTGAAATGAGGATTGATTAGCTCGAAAAAAAGACAGTTTTGAAAATGTTCTTAGGCGATTAGGAGGAGCAGAAAATATTAATACTTTTGATGTAGCTTCTGATTATAATATTCATTTTCCTCCTTATCTTTGGAATAAACTAAGCAACGAACAACAAAAATTAGCCAAAAGCAAAGGTCACGGAGAACTAGAATTGGATGATAAGACTAAGGCTTTTAAATGAAACAAACTAATCGAGGACTGATATAATAAAGTAGTTTCTAATCCAGTTCGAGGCAAACAAGACCCTACTACTGAAAAAGATAATAACGCTCTCCTTTATGGTGCAGGAGGAACCGGAAAAACTTCTATTGTTAGAAAATTAACTTACAATGCTAATCGTTATCCCTTAATTGAAATAAAAGGACCTTCGTTGACTCCTCGTAAAGAAGATTACTCTAATGGGATTGACCCCTTAAATAAATTTGTCTTTACCCTTTGCGACATAGAAAACACCTTAGAAGATGACTATGGCTTCAGACGAGAAACTAATGGCGAAATTCGTTATATTCTCTTTGTGGATGAAGCCGATAATGTTTGTTCTAATACTGCCCTCCCTACTGAATACACTAGACTAATCTTTTTAAAGTCCTGCATGGAAGGAATTAGTAAAGAATCGCAGAGTCAAAATCTTTGGGTATTTGCCACTAATTACCTCCACCTCATAGACCCGCCAGTTTACCGCCCGGGACGGTTAAGTAATCCACTAGATTTCAGTTGAACCTTAGGAGATTTTAAAAGGTATTCTGGAAATACTGGCATTACTAGTCAGTTCCCTATTCATTGACATAAAACAGATACTTTAAATGAGGAAGATAATAAATGAGTGAATAGATTTAACTCCATGAGTTTTAAAGATGAGTTTTTGCCTTTTTGAAGAAAGTTTATAACTAATTCTGACACGAGAAAACAATTAAACGAAGAAAAGGTAGTAGATGATAAAGGTGAAGAAAAGATAACTAAAAAAGGTATTCAAGTTGGTGAAATGCTGGAATTCTTTTGGAGATTATTTGACAGTAAGCAGTTGGCTAACTTCACTGGTAAATTTGAAAATCCAAGAAAACCAACCACTGAAGAGATTATTCCAACCATTACCGAAGCAATTGATATTCGTTTAAAAGAACTTACCGAACAAACGAGAAAAGTAAAAACTGAGTTAGAAGCATCTAACAAAGACTATGTGACAATAATTAACCAAAACTTCAAAGTAGTAGCAGATATACTAGCCGAAATCGGCAAAAAAATCGAATAAATATGAACCAAAAACAACAAATCAAATTAATTGAAAACAAAATAAAAGAAATCAAATCAACCCTTACCCTCTGAACTAAAAATATTGAGACCTACCATCAGCAATTACAACCATTAATTAACCAATTACAAGAAATTAAAAAACAACTAACTAATAAATAACTATGGCAAAAAATAAATACGGATTTTCAGGTTTAATCGGAGATATTGTCGGAGTTGCCTTTGCAGTTCCTACTTTTGGAGCAAGTATGGTTTTAAGTCCTACTGCTCGAGGACTAGTTGGAAATGTCCTTGGTGGTGGTGGAAGTGATGATGATAATAGTGGTATTAACCAAGCCCAAGCAAATTACCAAACCCAAATGGAGCAGTGAAAATTATTGTCCGAAGAACGAAGAAAGGATTTAGAAAATCTAAGGAAAGATAAGGATGAAACTGCACAAAAAATAAAAACCAATGATGAAGAAATGGATAGATTAAGAGCAATTATTAATGACCCAAATAAAAGCGATGATGAAAAAAATAACGCAAGGAGAAAGTTAATCATACTAGAAGGTGAAAATGAAAGTTTAAAAAGCAGATTGCAAGACTTAGAGAAAAAGATGAAAGATTTAGAAGCAGAAAAACCACCCACACCTACTACTCCAACTACTCCTTGAAAATTCCCTAAACTTAGTGCTTATGATAAATTATTAGCAGGAGCGATATTAATGCTGATTATTTACTTTTTATTTTTAAGAGAGGATAAGAAGAGATAGTTATGTCTTTCTGTTCTAACAAAAGATAGAATTAAGATAAATTTTCAAAATATCCAGTTAGCATAGAGTTCTTTTTCTAAAATTAATAATATAGGTAAAAATATTAGATTTAAACATGGACAAAAAACAATACCAAGAGATTTTAAGAAAAGGAGATAGGAATATAGTTCACGAAGAGTTTAAAGGTGTTGAATGAGCAAACCAAGAGTTAGAAAGAATAAAGAAAATTAGCGACTTGGAAGAACAAGTTAAGGATGCCAATCAGTTATATCAAATATGTGATAATGTTTACTGTCTCCTTGCCCCATCTATTCCAGATGATGGAGTAAGTAGGAGCGGATATTGTGGTTTAAATGAACTCCGTATGGTTTGTGATAGTTTAATAGCCATCAAAATTAAACTATCTAAAAAAGGGAAACTAGAACCGAAGGGAAATATTTGTCTCTACTGTCAAAATACTCCAACTACTCCTTACATTTGAAACGATGAAGTATTCTGTAATCAATACTGTCTAACTCAATGACAACTTCCTTGTGATGAGTGTGGTAATTACCGGCAAGGAAATAACTGGCAAAGAACTGATAAGAGTGATAACAAAAAATTCTGTTCCGAAGAATGCTTTAATAATCACTATGCTGAAAAGTGTGATAAATGTCAACAAAAAGTCTTAGGTCAGACTTATTATAATGATATTGCTAATAAAGCAGGTATTCTTTGTTCTTCTTGCCACCAAAAAAGAGAAGAAGAAGAAAGGAAGGAAACAGAAATTCTCTTACAAGGCATAAAGAAAAAAATATTAGATGCTTACAACACCTTGCAAAAAGAAGCCGAACAAGAACTTTCTGTCTCTTTTTTTGAGATATTTGACTTATCTTTGGTAATGAAAAGCAAATCTTATCAGGCTAATAAAGATATGGAAGTAAACTGCAAATTCTTTCTTTGTGAACAGTTAAAAGAAAAAGAGTTAGCGAGCGAATTAGAAACTTATGTTGAACAGATAAAAAAAGAAATTAAGAAAATTAGAGAAACTAAATTAGTTAGTGATAAAGGAGATAAAAACATTCCTAAACAATTTAATTCTAGTAGTTTAGATAATAGTAATTATGATAATAACTCACATATAAGAGAGAGAGAGAGAGAGAGAGCAAATCCAGTCTCAACAATCACAATTACTCTCAGAAATCATGAATTTAGAACAAAATCCTAATCCTAATAGTCAAGAATTAGACTCTAAAAAACAACAATTAAAAGCTTTAAAAACTAAGTCTAAAGAACTAATTAAACCTTTGCCTTTAGATACTCAAATTACTATCTTACAGAAAGAAATAAAAGCACTAACTAGTAAATCTACTAAAACTAAGGCTGAAGAAAGTATTTTAGCAAGTAAAAAGCAAGAATTAGAGGAATTATTAAAAAAACAAAAAAAGCCTAATGCTACCGAGACTAATCCTAGTAATAGGACTGCTCTTTATATTGGGTTAGGAATAATTGGAATATTAGTTGTGCTTGGTCTCTTTATCTTTATAAGAAAACATAGAAAAAGGCCTATTAAGGCCTAAAAGTAGTAAATGGCAAATTAGAATAACTTAAACATCAATTGCTACCTAATTTGTTATAAAAGGACTTAATTGCCCTTAGTAGTGATTGTAATTTAACAAAAATACACAAATAATTTATAAAAACATATGGTAAATGCACAATCGTGATTAAATAATAATTCAAGTCGAAGTTGGTCAAATTTGACTATTAGCAACAAGAAATTAGAAGGCTCTTTGAAATTAGAAAGATTTACTAACCTTAGAGAATTAGTTTGTTCGCATAATCAACTTTCTCGTTTAGAAGTTTCTAATTGCCCTAATTTGAAGGTAATTAAATGTATTGATAATCAAATTACAGAATTAGTTATAAAGAATTGTCCAAGGGTGAAAGAACTTCGTTGTGCTAATAACTTTTTAACCGACTTAGACTTAAGCCAAAACCCAGAATTAGAAATATTAAATATTGGTAGTAATAACTTTTTAGAGCAAGATTTGTCCTTTTTAGGTCATTTGACTAATTTAAAGACATTAATGTTAGGAAATTCTGATCAAGAGAGAATTGAGAAAGGCATTTATAATCGTTTTATTGGCTCGCTAGATAACTTAAAGAATATGAATGAATTAGATGAACTTGGCATTGCCAACACTGATATTGATTCTGGTTTAGAATATTTGTCAAATAAAGTTGAAAATTTTTATTGTTTGGCAGATAAAAGACAAGATGCTAAGGTTCAAGTTATTGCTGATTTATTTGCTAATGAGCAAGGAGTAGTAGAAGCAGATGTATTAGGAAAAATAATAAATTTTTCTCAAAAGTTCCAGGATTATAAACAATGAATTCCGGAAGCGAAAAAAGCTAAGGATCAGATTAAGGATAACATAGAAGAAATTATAATTACAGAAGAAATTGTTTCTGAAAAATTGAATGAAATGCTGGCAGAAATGGGATATTTAAGGAAATCAAATCAAACTTGACAAGATTATTTGGAAAAAGCTTCTAATTTAGATAGACTAAATAAACAGAAGGATTATGTGCTGTTAGCAATTCAAATTTTAAAAGACAGATCGCAGTTGCTCAAATTAGAAAGAAAAGTTGAGGAATTACAAAATCAAATGAATCGTTTATTGAATGAACAAGAACAACAACAAACCAAAGCCCAAATGGAAATTCCTCCTAAATCATAAAAGTTTATCCTATTTTAATATTGAGTAATGTTAACAAAGTAATGACTAAGAGCGAAGATCAACACTAATAAAAAAAAGGGGAGTCCAAAAACTCCCCTTTTGATACTTTATATAATAAAATAATCACAGATTATTTATTTCTAATAAGCATTTTTGCTTATAAATCTACTTATCAGATACCTTTTCATACAAAACTATATCACCCTTAAAAAACCTCTTCTAAAACTAAGCAATTTATCTAAGCAAACTTATTCTTCCAACTTACTTAATAACTCTTTACACTCTCTAACTATCTTTTCATTCTTCTCTTTCTGACTCAGATAAGCAGTTTCTAATTCTGCCCTAGTAAATCCGAGAGGTAATGAAGGATTAACCAGTCCAGATTCCTCATGTCCTGATAAAAAACTACTAGACTGATTTAAGTAAATCTCTAAGGCATCTTTAATCAGTCCTTTATGGTAGTATAAATAGACTAATTTACTTAGTTTACGCTTTAAATTAGTTCAAGTCTCTAATATCTCTGTTTTTTTTTTTTTTTTTTGTGGATTAGTCATAAATATTAGTAATTTTACTATATTATTTTTACTAACTTAATTTATTCATCTCCGGTTGGTTGATGAAAAATACAATAATATTTGTCATCTCCTCATTTTTCAGAAACATAAGGAGAACTACATTTACTACAAAAATTACCATTCATATATATTTAAAGTTTTTTAACTTCTTTAAAATTAATAATATAATAAACTAAGCACTAGTTACCTCTTTTAATATTTAACTAATTCCTTATGAATACTAATAATATCTTGTAAAAACATATGGAACATACTAAAAACAATATCCCTATTTATGCGGAAGAAATAATAATTGAACAAACAGCAGAGGAAGAGATTGCAGAACTAAAAGAACAGTTAAAAGTTTTACAAGAAGAGTTAGCCGAGGAAGAGGAAGAAAACAAAGAATTAGACAAATTAATTTGAAAAGGCATAGAGAAATTGGAAAAAGAAAGGAAGGAAAAGAAGGATTTAAAAACGAAACTTAACGATTCTAAAACTAAATTGCTAGGTTCTTTGTTCGGAAATAAAAAAAAGTCTGAGAAAATTGATAGTTTAAAAAATAGAATGTCAAAATTAGAGGTCAACAAAGATCAACAAATAGACAATCTGAAAGAACAATTAAAGCAAGAAAAAGAGCGGGCAGATGATTTACAAGCAGAATTAAATAGAGAAAAAGGTTGATGGGATGAGTGGATAAATGATAGGGAGAGAGAACTTAGTTATTATCATAGAAGTCCAGATTCTTTTAGAGTTCTTTATTATGAAAGACGTGGCATGCTTGCATTTTTAAATGAAAAATTACATAAAGAAGAAAATGAAAATGTATTAGAA